ATATAAGCAGAGACATAGAAAATAAAACACAAATCTAACTTGTAGAGATGGAAACTGTACTGTTTTCAATGGGAAGTACACTGGATGGCATTAACAACAGATTAGACATTGCAGAATATTAGTGAAGTAGAAGACATAGCAGAAACAATTCAAAATGAAAAGAGATAAAAGAATTTTTAATGAATATGAAAAACCACTAGTGGACTGTGGGAAGGGCTTGAGTGACCTGATATACTTGTAATTGGAATCCGCCTAGAGAAGGATGGAGAGTTCGACAACAACAACAAAAAACCTGGAAGAAATAATGGTTGAAAAACTGTCCACCCACAGATCCAAGAAGTTCACTGATATAAAGCTCAAGAAATATGAAGAAACCAAAGCACATGATAATCAAATTGCTCAAAGCTAAGGATAAAGAGGAAAACCTTAGAAGCAAACTAGGGAGGGTAAAGACACATTGTATTCAGAGGAGCAAGATAAGGGTGGCAAATTTCTTGTCAGAAGAAATACAATTGAAAAGATGGTGGAGTAACATTTTAAAAGTATTTAAAGAAAAATATATGAACGTGTCAGCCTGTAATTCTGTGCCCTGTGAAAATATCTTTAAAAAGTGAAGACAGAATAAAGACTTTAGACATACAAAAGCTGGAAGAGTTTTTCACCAGTAGAAAAAATGTTAGAGGAAGTCATCCAGAAGGAAAATGATTCTAGATGGAAATATGTATTCACATAAAGGAACAAAGAACCCTGAACATGATGATTAAAGGAGATTTTTTTTTCTTGTTATTTAAACCTCCTTAATAGATAATTATTCCAGAACACCTGGGTGCTTCAGTCAGTTAAGTGTCCCATTTTGGCTCTGGTCATGATCTCATGGTTCATGGGTTTGAGCTCCCTGTCAGGTTCTGTGCTGACAGCTTGGAGTCTAGAGCCTGATTGAGATTCTGTGTCTCCCTCTCTCTCTGTCCCTCCCTTGCTAGCACTCTGTCTCTCACTCTTTCAAAAATAAATAAACATTAAAAATTTTAATAAAAGATAATTATTTCAACCCAAACAGCAACAATATATTGTGGGGTTTATAACATATATATAAGTAAAATATACAATGGCAATAACCTAAAGGCCAGGAGGAGATAAATGGAAGTTCTTCTACCTGTCGTGTTATAATATCACTTGAAGGTAGGCAGGGATAAGTTAATGAGTGTACTATAAGCCTTAAAGCAACTACTGAAATAACCAAAGAGTTTCACTAATAAGCCAATGAAGAGATAATAATGAAATCATAAAAAATAATTAGTCCAAAAGAAGGAAAAAAGGAACAAAGTGCAGATGAGTCAAATAGAAATAAATGACACTGAAAGACTTAAACCTACCCATATTAGTAACTACTTTATTAAAATTTTTCATAGTTTATTAATATTTGAGACAGACAGAACATGAGCGGGGGAGGGGCAGAGAGAGAGAGACACACACAGAATCTGAAACAGGCTCCAGGCTTTGAGCTGTCAGCACAGGACCCGATGTGGCGCTCGAACCCACGAACTGTGAGATCATGACCTAGGCTGAAGTTGGTCGCCCAACTGACTGAGCCACCCAGGTGCCCCTAAAATTTTTTTTTAATGTCTTAATTTATATTTGAGAGAGAGAGGCGCAGAGTACGAATAGGGGAGGGGCAGAGAGAGAGAGAGAGAGGGAGACACAGAATCTGAAGCAGGGTTCAGGCTCTGGCTCTTAGCACAGAGCCTGACATAGGGCCCAAACTCAAGAATGGTGAGATCATGACCTGAGCCAAAGTCGATGCTTAACCAGTGGAGCCACCCAGGCACACCATTAGTGACTACTTTAAATTTAAATGATCTAGACATCCCAATTAAAAGGCACAGATTATCAAATTAGATTAAAAGCAAGACCCTTATGCTGAGCGAAATAAGTCAGGCAGAGAAGGACAAATATCATATGTTTGCACGTATAGGAGGATTAGGAGGAACTTGACGGAGGAACAAGGGGGGAGAAGAAGGGCGGAAATGGTGGGGGAAAGGGAGAGAGGCAAACCATGAGAGACTCTTGAATGCTGACAAAAACTGAGGACTGATGGATGTGGGGGGAAGGGGGGGTGGGCACGGAGGAGGGCACTTTGGGGATGAGCACTGAGTGTTCTGTGGAAACTAATTTGACAATTTGTAAAAAAAATAAAAAATTAAAAAAAAAAATAAATAAATAAAAATAAAAGCAAGACCCAAGGGACGCCTGGCTGGCTCAATTGGTAGAATATGTAACTCTTGATCTCAGGGTTGTGAGTCCAAGCCCAGTGTTGGGCATAGAGCTCACTTAAAGAAAAAAAGCAAGACCTGATTATATGCTGCTTATGACAAATTCACTTTAAATATCAAGATACAGGTAGGTTAAAAGTAAAAGGATGGAAAAAGATATACCATGCTAGTCCAAAAAAGAAAAAAAGAGGGTAGTGGCTATATCAATATCAAAGTAGATTTTAGCATGTAAAATATCGCAAAAAATAAAGAAGATCATTTGTTAATGACAAAGGATGAATTAATCCAAAAGGCATGATAATCAACATTTATGCATGTAGTAACAGAGCTTCAAACATCAATGAAGCAAACAGTTGCAGGGGAAAAACAAAAGATCACAATCATAGACAGATTTCAGTACCCCTCTTTTGAAAATAGAACAAGTAGGTAGAAAAATCAGTAAGGATATAAAAGACTTGAAAAACCCCATTAACCAACTTGACCTGGTTGGCATTTATAGAATACTCAATAAGAGCAGAAATTGACATTTCTGGACACTCACCATTAACAGCAGAATACCCATTCTTTTCAAGTGCACATGAATATTATAAAGATCATATTCTGTGTCATAAAACAACTCTGTGTATCCAAAAGGTTTGATGTACAAAGCATGTTTTCTGGCTATAATGGGGTAAATGGGAAGTCAGTAGCAGAAAGATAATTGAGAAAGTCCTTAGTATTTGAAAATAAGTAACAAACTTATAAATAGCACAGGGATCAAAAAGGAAATTAGAAGGTATACTGAATGGAATAAAATAGTAACAGCATAACAGAATCTGTTGGGATGCTGCTAAAGCTGCATTAGGGGTACATTTATAGCACTAAACATCTGGAGTAGAGAAGAAACAGTCTTAAATCCGTGGCATTGCCTTATGAAACAAAAAAGCAGTTAAACTCAACGTAAACAGAAAAGAAATAATGACGATCAAAGGGAAAATCAAGAAATAGAAAACAAAAATAGGTAGGGAAAATCAAAGGAAAGAAAAGTTGTTTTTTGAGGGGACAATAAGTAAAATCAGTAAATTTCTAGCTATCCTGATCAGGAATGAAAGAGACAAGATATAGATTACCAGTATCAGGAATGGGAGAGGTAATATCACTGCAGATTCAAAAAGACATAAAAAATACGATAAGGGAATATTATGGACAATTTTATTTCCATAACTTTAACATCTTAGGTGACATGGATAAGGTCTTGCAAAGCTTATTTAAGAAGTAGATAACCTGAGTAGCCCTTTATCTATATATGAAATTGAAATTGTAGTTATTAATAACCTTTTCACAAAGAGAACTCTAGGCCAGGATGGTTTTACTGCTGAATTCTGTCAAATATTTAAGGAGGTACGAATACTAGTGCTATATGAATGTGTCCAAGAAGCTGAAAAAGAGGTAATATTTCCCAACTCCTCTTTTACTTTGATATTAAAACTTGGCAAAGATAGTACAAAAAAACAGAAAACTATGGACCAGTCTTTTTCATGAACACAGATAACAAAGATTCTAAACAAAGCTGTATTAGCAAATCAAATCCAACAGTACTGTAAAAGATAATACACCATAACCAAATGGTTTTTTTTTTAATTTTTTTTTTTAATTTATTTCTAGGAGAGAGAGAGAGACAACGTGAGCAGGGGAGGGTCAGAGAGAGAGGGAGTCACAGACTCTGAAACAGGCTCCAGGCTCTGAGTTGGCAGTCAGCACAGAGCCCGACGCGGGGCCTGAACCCACGAACCGCGAGATCATGACCTAAGCGAAAGTTGGACGCTTAACCGACTAAGCCACCCAGGCGCCCCCCAAATGGGGTTTATTTCAGTAGTACAGCTTGGTTTAATATTAGAAAATCAGTCAATTTTGGGAGTTCCTGAGTGGCTCAGTCGACTAAGGATCTGACTTTGGTTCAGGTCATCATCTCGTAGTTCATGAGTTTGAGCCCTGCATCGGGCTCTTTGCTGACAGCTCAGAGCCTAGAGCCTGCTTCAGATCCTGTGTCCCTCTCTCTCCGCCCCTCCCCTGCTCATACTCTGTCTCTCTCTCTCTCTCTCTCTCAAAAATAAACATTAGAAAACATTTAAAATAGAAAATCAACCTTAATTCATCATGTTAATAAACTAAAAGAAAAAAATCCATGTAATCAACTTACTAGGTGCAGAAAGAGCAGGTGACATGTCAGCATCTGTTCCTGATAGTTTTTATCAGCTAAGTATTAATAGAAAACTTAGCCTGATAAAAGACATCAAAGACAGACCTGTGACTAACATTCAGACTATTGTGTATGGTTGAAATTCCCATTACAGGGGCGCCTGGGTGGCTCAGTCGGTTGAGCGTCCGATTTTGGCTCAGGTCACGATCACACGGTTTGTAGGTTCGAGCCCTGCATCGGGCTCTGTGCTGACAGCTCAGACCCTGGAGCCTGTTTCAGATTCTGTGTCTCCCTCTCTCTCTGCCTCTCCCCACTTGTGCTCTGTCTCTCTCTGTCTCAAAAATAAACAAAACAAACAAACAAACAAAATTAAAAAAAAGAAATTCCCATTACAATAAATTTTCAGAAAAATGTATGTGAAAATGAGGTAGTAACATCAGTGAGACAGTTGTTTCATACGTATGTGTAGATATTTGAATAATCATGGAATTGCATTAGTACTCGAATGGATCTTCAAGATGATACTAATTCAAACTGTTTATTTTTTATAGGTCAATATGGAAACCCTTTAAATAAATACATTAGACATTATGAAGGATTATCTTATGATGTGGATTCATTACACCAAAAACACCAGCGTGCCAAAAGAGCAATTTCACATGAGGACCAGTTTTTACGTCTAAATTTCCATGCCCATGGAAGGTGAGTAAATTTATTGCTGTGTATGAAGTTTTCCTATATTCAGTCTAAGTTAAAAGAAGAAATTTATACCATTAATTTTCCTTCTCTAATGGAAAGGTTCCCATTTGGAAATTCAGCCTACTCTAGAATTTGGTATATATGCTAAAAAAGGTTTTCTTTTTTTTTTTTTTTAATGTTTTATTTATTTCTGAGAGAGAGAGAGCATGAGCAGGCAAGGGTCAGAGAGAGGGAGAGAGACACAGAATCTGAAGAACGCTCCAGGCTCTGAGATAGCTGTCAGCATAGGACTCCACGCGGGGCTCGAACCCATGAACAGTGAGATCATGACCTGAGCCGAAGTCGGATGCTTAACCAACTGAGCCACCCAGGTGACCCAAAAATGTTTTCTTTTAAAATGGATTATCTTTTTTGTATTAAGGCTACAGTCAAATTTAAATGTTTTTAAATTTTGAACCCAATCCTCTGTTGTATTCTTAGAGGATGTATCTTTAAAGAAGATTCTTTGTTCATAATTTCCCACTACTTTTTATGTGTTTTATGGGTCAATAGATCTGTCTTCTGGTGCCAACAGTAAAGGTAGCTGGTTTTATGTCATTAAGTCATTTAATTTCTCATTAACTCAATTTTATTAACTCTAAAGTGACAGTTTTAAACAGATTACCTACTGTACTGCTCATTTCTCAGACAGAATTGTTAAAGGATAAAGAACAGGGAGCCAGGGGAGAAAGGTAAAAATCTCATTGGTATAGTGCCTGGGGTATCCTAGGTGCATAGTTTTTAATTTAATCTTCTCAAAACCCAAACAAGGTAAATATCTTTTTATATCTGAGAAAACTAAGGCTCAGAGAAGATAAATTATTTCTTTAAAGTTACACAGCATAGATTTGAGTCAGACCTGACCGACTCAAACCCCATACTTTTTCTTTCTGTTGGTTAGGGGTACTTAGATGCAAAATCTTGGAGCATTCTCTGTTAGACTCTCTGTCTTGCTTACTGTAATTGCTTACTGTTCCTTTTGTGTTTTTCCTACTGATGTAACCTTGATTTATTGTTCACCTCCTAATAGGTTTCCCAGCTTCCTTTCCATTTATCATTAAAGCTATCCTATGGACTGCTACAAGAAGACTGTTCCTTAAATGCTTGCTTTTTCATGTCAGCTTACTGTTCTAAAGTCCTCAATTAATGATTGTAAGCCAGATTTCTTAACTTGGCTTTTAGGATTCTCTGTAAATTAATTCTAGTCTATTTTTGTAAACTTTGTTCCGTTTCCCAACATTAAGTGTCTTTTTCACCCAGAATGATCATCTGGTTGCTGAATATACCATGAGCAGTTTGTTCTCTGAGTCGAGTCATTTATCTTAAGTCTTGATCATCTTTTAATGTACAGTTCAAGTCCTGCCTTTTTAAAAATTTACCTACACCTTCCTCAGAACTTTTAAATTGCTCATCTGTGCCATTGGTACTTTGATTTGTTCTGTCTTCCTTTTCATGAGTGTATTTGTTTATTTTCCTATAACCGTTTTTAGCATACTGGCTACTATATAGTAATGTTTTAATTTGCTCGTCTGTGCCATTGGTATTTTGATTGTTTTGTCTTCCTTTTCATGAGTGTATTTGTTTATTTTTCTATAACTTTTTAGCATACTGGCTACTATTTAGTAATGTTTATTTTTTGTACTTATGCTTAAGTACAGATGTACAGATGCTTAAGAAAGATATTAATGGATGAAAAGATAATTATTTTTAATCAGATATTAGAATATAAATTTCATTACTAATCAGAGAATAAAAATACTGTGAAACTTATTTTGCCCATGGAAATAAATATTACTTAAATTAACTTATTTTCTGTATTAAAATGTAATTCTCATTGTAGAAAAAAGTACTTTTAATTTATAAAATCTCTTGCTTTCATATGAAGGAAGTAAAGATTCATTTTAGGGTTTTTTTTTTTAAGTAAGAATATTAGTGGTAGCAATTTATGTTAATTTTTATGATCCTTAACTTCAGATATTTTTAAATTACCTATTCTTTACTAGTATCATGAAATAATAGCAGCCTTTCAGGCTTCCTAAGTTTTTAGTGACCACCTCAAAATAAATTTAATATTATATTCCAAATATAGTGTAACTACCAAAAAGAAAGGTAGAGATTCTAGCTGCCTTTGATTTGAATACCACATTCCTGTTACATTAGATTTTTTATTTGATCTATCACATAATTCATATTGAGCTTGTGGCTAGGGTAAACTCCTAGCTCTCCCCCACCCTCCTTTTTTGTTTTGTTTGTGCGTGTGAGAGAGAGTGAACATGTGAGTGCATGCTGTTTATTCATCCATAAACTTGTTTATTGACTCGTTAAAAGTTACCTAGTTTAGGCTATGGGTGGTAGAAACATAAATCAAACATAGATCTAATAGGGCAGCAAGATGTGGGTAAGTCATTTCATAAGAGGAAAATGTGATAATGGTGCTTTATAGGTAAAACACTATAGATATTCATATGATCCTTGGAACTGAGGCTCTCAACAAAGGGCCTGCAGCCAGGAGATGTCATTTTGTGTATAAGTGGTCACCTTAGATGCTTTTAACAGAAATCTATTTAATCAATTATATATATGCACTACTTTGTCTGGAGTAGATTGGAATTGAGGTATTGGAATTTACTGTTTCAATTATCATACTTGTATATTCATGTTGTCTTAGAATTTTTGCCCTAAAATGTGGTTATTTTAATTACATTGTAACATACATTAGTTAAAAATGTGATGATCTGTTTTATTTCTCTTTCCTTGCAAGGGCCTATGAAATGACCTGGATGATATAGTTACAGATTTCCTGCTCAGTCTCTTCCTCCTCCACCATATACAAAAAATTGGTTTTGGTACCCTACAACCCCCATAAACAGGATTTGTATTGATACACAAATTATGAGTTAATAACAATTTATAATACCAATGAGAAATGATTATTATAAAATAGCAATGTGTTGATTAGAAGACCCAGCTTTATTGTGAATGTGGTTTTGGGGTGGTTTTGGGCTATACCTAGCTGTCATCCAGCCTGTAAAATGTGTGTTGCCCTTGTGCATTGTGGCTACACCTAATATCTATTTTTCATCTTTTAAAAAATAATCAAGTAGAGTTTGTTTCTCCTGATTATATGGTTCGGCTTAATCCCCTAGAATCACATTGCTAAGATTTAATAAATTACAGAATATAATAAATACTGTGCAGTTAACTTAGAAAAGAGGTAAATACTTGAAAAGGGTTCTGTTTAGTTAGATAAGTATGACTTGCATCTTTTTTTTTTTTTAATATTTTTATTTATTTCTAGGAGAGAGAGAGAGAGAGAGACAGGTGAGCAGGGGAGGGTCAGAGAGAGAGGGAGACACAGACTCTGAAATAGGCTCCAGGCTCTGAGCTGGCAGTCAGCACAGAGCCCGACGTGGGGCTCGAACCGACGAACCGTGAGATCATGACCCAAGCGAAAGTCGGACGCTTAACCGACTAAGCCACCCAGGCGCCCCATGACTTGCATCTTTGAATACTAACACAGTGTGTGTGTGTGTGTGTGTGTGTGTGTGTGTGTGTGTGTGTGTGGTGTGTGGTGTGTATGTATTAAAGTCATTCTTTGTGCTGTTTGTTTTATGTTTAAGTGCATAGGCAAACTTCTTTCAACCTGGCTTCCAAGTTTCCTAAATAAGAAAGGGTGTATCACATACCAGGTTTACAGATAATAACATTAAATGAAGAAATGTTGAGATTCTTTAAGCCCCAAGTCCATTCTTAGGAATTCCATGAATGGGACACTTGGGTGGCTCAGTCAGTTAAGCATCTGACTCTTAATTTTGGCTCAAGTCATGATCTCATGGTTTGTGGTTTTAATCCCTGTGTTGGGCTCTGCACTGATAGTGTTGAGCCTCCTTTGGGGTCTCTCTCTGCCCATCTCCCACTTGCACATGCATGCTCTCTTTCTCTCTCTCTCAAAATAAGTAAATTTAAAAAAGAAGAAAAGAATTCCATGAAAAACCACCGCTCTTGAAATAAAGTTTGAAGTTGTTTGAAAATATGGGGTGCCTGGGTGACTCAGTCAGTTAAGTGTCCCAACTCAAAATCTTAACTCCAGTCCATCTGTCTGTCTGTCTTTGTTTGTTTCTTTCTTTTTCTTCCTTTTTCTTCCTTTTTCTTTTTCTTTTTTAAAGTTTATTTATTTATTTGAAAGAGAAAGCATGAGTCAGGGAGGGGCAGAGAGAAAGAATCCCAAGCAGGCTCTGTGCTGATAGGCTGATGTGAGTTCAGGCTGATGTGAGGCCTGAACCCACAAACTACAAGATCTTGACTTGAGCCAAAGTCAGATGCTTACTTGACTAAGCCACCTAGGCGACCCTCCATTCAGGTCTTGATCATTTCAGGGTCATGAGTTCAAGCCCCGCATTGGGCTCTATGCTGGGCATGGAGCCTACCTTAAAAAATAAATTTTTTTTTCTTTTTTTTCCGAAGGTGGCTGGGTGACTGTCAAAGCCTGGGTGGTTTGGTTGAATGTCTGACTCTTGATTTTGTCTCAGGTCATGATCCCATGGTCCTAAGATTGAGCCCCACACTGAGCCCCACACTGGAGCATGGAGCCTGCTTGAGGTTCTCTTTTTCTCTTTCCCTTTGCCTCTCTCTGTTGCTCACACATTCTCTCTAAAATACAAATAAAATAAAAAGTCCTGTGGGCCTGTGCGCAGTTAGTTATAGGAAAGATTGTTAAGGGAAGTAAGTATTTTTAAACATACTTCAGTAATATTCATTAGGATATTAAAATATTTTAATAATAGATGCTAGGGTAAAAGATACCCCTTTGCTTTGCTTAGAAATTAGGAATCAGGGGCGCCTGGGTGGCTTAGTCGGTTAAGCGTCTGACGTTTGCTTGGGTCATGATCTCGCGGTTCGTGGGTTCGAGCCCCGCGTCGGGCTCTGTGCTGACTGCCAGCTCAGAGCCTGGAGCCTGTTTCTGT